GCCTAGCCACCATAAGAGAGACTTTCTGTGAAACGCACAGGAGAGCCAAGGAATTTGCAGAAAGTCTTATTGAAGAAGGATTTGTTATTGCATTAGAGCTCAAGGAACCAAGATTAAGAAAGAGAAAGAGGCTAACCATCGATGAAGGTCCAGATGAAGTTGAATCAATGGGCGCAGCAACAAACCGCTATGCAATCCATCTTACAAGACCACGCTGGACCTAGCAATTGCCAAGATTGATCGCTAATTTTCAAAAAACGCAGATCTTTAAAAAGATTTTGCTTTCCTTGAACCCTTGCAAGAGCAACTGAGAAAGGACGCGACACTGTTAAGCAAGATTGCAAAGATGTCTGAAGTAAGCTTGGAGCAGCTGCGGGAAGAATTGCAGTCTTTCTCTCAAGTTTACAAAGAAATAAGCTCAGCGGCAATGATCAAAATGGCAACAAGCATCCCCAACGAGGAAAGTTTTGAGAAATACATAGAGATCTCGGAACAGATAAAAAGAGGAAGAATTCGTTGCAGAAGTTCCACCTGACTCCACAGCTCTTGTTAGCACAGAACAGTTGTCCCATGCCTTAAAGTTGTTATGACGCTGAAATGCACGCAAGTTTCATGTGAACGAATGTTCAGTAAATTAAAGCTTATGAAGAGTAGACTTAGAGCAACCATTGGTCAGCCACACCTTGAATCACTGATTATTATTTCAAGTGAAGAGAAAAACTTCCGGTTAGACTGTGAACACATAATAAATCAGTACGTGTGTATTTCGCCGGCGCTTCAAAGAGACTTCAAGGAACATCGTTTAATGGATTTTATTTAGAGCAAGAGATTTTCATTTTGTTTTGTTGAAATATTGTTAAATCAGTTACGATTCTTTAGAATGTAGTTAGGACTGCAAAACAAACTGATCTCAAGTGTTGCGTGATACGACAAACTCATAGTACTGATTGGATGTTGCATTGCTATATTGCCCCCACTTTGCCGCTTAGCCCATGCGCCCAAAATTGCTTTAAACCTGAACTGAGCTTTCACTCGTTCAATTCAAGTTTCTAGCAGAATGAGTTGCTTGTGGTGATATAATTAAATCTAATGAATTGTTTTGAGGTATGGCTAGTAACTTTTAGGTTTGTAACTCGGATAGTACGGGCCCCTTTTCTGAATATAGCAACCCGAGAGATTTGCTGCCAGTCCGCCTCTGCATACACCTAATGTGAAACAGACCCACAAAAATTTTAAGAGAAAACGAAGAGGAGTAGGACTTGGCATTAATTTCAAAGTCTAAAGCCCTGGCAAAACGACTAAACATTTCGCTAAACATTTCACTCAACTTTTGTTTAGTGAAGTTGAGCGAAGTTTAGCGAGGGTGGCAAAACGTGACTAAACTTTTCACTAAACTCCACTCAATCGTTTTGAACAGCGAGCTAGCTACGACGCTGTTGGGTTGTAGGGGATCTTGCATAGAAATTTGCTTTGGTTTATTTTGTTGCATGCACAAGCAGTGGATGAAAATAAGAATCGGGTGAAGCGACGGGGAGACAGTAGTAACAAGAAGAAAATAAACAAAAAGGTAGGAAATGAAAATAAAACTATGTTTCAACTAACCTAATATTAAGGCCCCGGGGTGCGAAAGTTTCTAACTTATACTGCCAGAAACTTTCACGTATCCTACCATTCCCATTATGTCTATCTATAATAGTTACTTTAATATCTTCGAGAAACCCATGATGATCCTTCCCTGCAAAATGCCGGAAAAAATCAGCCTGAGGTATACCCGAAGAGCCCCCGATAAACTTACGATTGCACGCCTTATGGTTATTAAACCTAAGCCTAAAAGGCGTGCAAGTGCTACCCACATACTGTACACCACATACTTCAAATTCCATAAGATACACAACATTGGACGAATCACAATTAAACGAAAAATTTATCTTATATTCCTTATCAGTTATATGGGAAGTAAAAGTATCACTGTCACACATAACATTACACACTTGACATCGAGACTTGCCACATGGAGTACAACCCCTATTATGCGTGGTCCCTGCCCCCTCATTATAAAGTTTCGCCCTAACTAGTAAATCTTTAAGGTTCTTGTAATCTGTCTGTCTGTCTGATTATAGTCTGTCTGATGAGTGCGCAAGCATGAAACTCGGAGTAACAGAGAACATGTCTCATTTCTAGTCTATATTCTATTTTCTATTATATCTATTGCTTTGTGCTTTTGCACATCGAGCACTGTCACGTCAAAATAGACAACGCAATCTTGAATATATATATATGTATATATATGATACTTCCGTAGCACGAAACCATGTAGTTTTACTTTCTTCAACTCTATGATATATCACGCTCTACGTGCTAACGTATTGAGCACTGTGCTACGGAAGTATCAAAAACAAATTTCTATATATGAGTATTATATATATGCATATATATTTATTTATATATTGTATTGATTATCATATTCCTGTCTAGAGTGCTCACCTTATCGGAGCAATTAGATAGACTAAAATAAACAGACTATTGTGACACAACTCTGAGTTTCATGTGTAAACAATCATCAGGTGTCTAAAAGAACACAAATTAACGGCAAGCAAGATAGAACGGTAAAAACGAATAATCGAACACAATCAAACGAAGTTAATTGTGTAGAGTGCTTAATCGTAAAAACTACATTCTAAGATCGAAAATTGCTAATCAAAAGTTTGTTCTTGTTGCCTTAAAAATTCTGTTCTATTATCAAGTATTTTATTGTCCCCAAAGAATTTACAATCGACTATTCAAAGAAGAACATACCTATCGCAAGTTAGAATGAGTATACCATTCAACTAATATCAAAGGTAGAAAGTGTAATATCGAATTCAGAAGCGTAAATAGCCCTTTTCAAACCAAAATGAAAAATGACATCAAAGAAATAAAAAACAGCCAGAAGATATTTGTATCAGCTGACAAGTCAAGAAATATATACAAACTCGAACCGGAGAATTACATGGAACTATTGAAAGAAAATGTCACCAAAGATTACAAGAAATCAGATGTTATGAAAGTACATAAAATCAATCGCGATATCAAACAAATTGCATCAGATTTATCGATCGAAGAAAGAGTAGAATGTTTACAAGAGAAAGAAGCCTATATCACCATCAAAGATCACAAAGAAAACTTCCCCACCAAGGTATCATGCAGACTTATAATATATATATATATAATCATAAGGCAAATGCTGGCAGGAGGAAAATTCTTTCCACAAGGGTGCTGCCCAATTGTATCGAACTACTCTTGGTCGGAATCGAACTCCAGTTTGCTGCGTCGAAAACTCCCGCTCATTTATTTAGATCCTCAAGAAAAACACTCTCATGTAAACGTTTCGACCGAAGTCTTCATCAGTTTATCTATATTATTCTTATTACACTTGGAGTTAGAGCTTTTGACAGTATAAATATATATATATATATATATATATTTATATATACACACATATAGGTTGTCTTCCTATGAAAAGGTCTTTGATAACTACATTCCTGATGACGCCTTTTCAATTAGGCCCAATTCTAAATGTAGCCCTATATTTCACGACTCCAAATCTCGAAGAAGCTTTATCTGACCAGTTTCTAGACAAAATCAATTTCAGAAACTGGATATGTAATTTCACGCATGCCATTTTAGCTATGTCTAGAAATTATTAATAAGATATTAGAAATTCATAATAGATTCGAAACTAGAAGAGATTTTGTCTATTGACAGATACTTAATCGAAATAACAGCTCTTCTTCCGGTTACGCAGTAGAGGAATGGGTCATCGTCGAATCTTGGAAGAAATATGGACCAAGATTCGCGCACATCCGTTCAACCGCACTCATTCCACCAAATATAGTCAGAAACAACATAACAAAAGAAACTAATTTTTTCATCTCGAATTTCCAGTCCAGCGCTTTTTCTATTAGACTTCTCATATGAAACTTCAAATGAACCAGAATTGATCCAGCTATCAAAGTCGACTTCAATATGGAAACCAAAGAAATTGATATAAATCTCCAAATAGAAAGAATCGGCTTCGGAAAGTTCCAAATTATTGTTTTAGCTATAGTGTTGCTGAGGCAATTTTCATATTCATCTACAGCCAGTCTTCTCGTCATATTGGAGCCCTATCTTCGTTGCTATTGGAAATTGAGTTACATGACAGCAGCATGGCTTGTCTTGCCTGAAGCTATCACTAAAATAGTTGGATCGATTTTACTTGGCAAAATGTCAGATCGGTATGGAAGGCGCAAGACGATGATACTTGCTTTCGTTTTCAATTCATATTTGACTCTCCTTTTTTCGCTATCCACCAGCACAGTTCTGTTGTCAATAATACGAGGGGTTATTGGACTCGTCTCGTCAAGCACCATGATAGCATTTACCTATGCAATGGAAATTCTGCCAATATCAAAACGAAAATACATGTCTATTTTTGCTGCAGGGTTTTTTGCAGGATGTGGGTATGGCATTTTAGTTGCTATGGTTTCGCTGGAGTATCTATCATGGCGATGGTTCGACGCTTTTGCAGAGACCATTCCGATAACGTTAGCGGCACTTGCAGTGCTATTTCTGCCGGAATCTCCACGATATTTGATGGCCGTTGGAAAAACGGATGAGGCAAAAGAGACTCTCCAAAGAATTGCTAAAAGGAACGGAGCACTGGATAGATTTTCGGCATTTCCTTCGTATGAATCTACTAATGCTGTGACAATAAAACATTTTAAAACGAATGTTGATGAGCGACAGCAGCAATCAAAATACGAAATGGCAAAAAGGATTGTTGTAGTAGCTTTTCTGCAATTTTATGGCGATATTGTCTCTGCAACAGTACGTTTTGGCTCAAT